ACAATAACAGGGCGCGTATTTGACCCACATTCAACTGCATGTTCAGCGTCATTTGGCCTTTCACCATAACTCGGTATGTGAGCCCTAAGCGACACGCCTGAAGATAATTTCTCTTCCAAAATATCGTACTTGTTAAAGATAACGATTAGAGTGGACTTCTTGTAAAGACGCTCGGTGCAAATGGTGGTCCAGAGTTGGAAAGAGTCCTCAAAGCGATTGACCCTCTCGTTCCGAGGAGAACGCTCATCGAAACATGAAACCGCTGCAGTTGGATTAGAACAAATCAATGACTTGAATACAAAAATTCCATCGCATACGTGCAACTGCAACAGGAAAATTTGTCAGTATCTCACAGGGACAGAAGAAAAGAAATCGTACGTAGGACAACAGCTTCAATGCTTTCCATGAAATGATGCCATTCAACACCTCCTCGCTCCACATAGAAAGCCCACTTATGCGGTACTTTTCCTCCGGTTCGAGGGAGTGTAAAGTCAGTGATCGTAACCTTGAATTTAAATGGATCGGCTTTGGTAGGCAGTTCTCTCTTGTCCATACACAGTAGACCTATGCCTGCATAAGGGCTGACATTCAGAAGCATTGGCATAAACGATGTCAAATCGGTTATATACTTTCCACCAAGGTTGCTTTACCTAAATTGTAAAGGTAGACCTTAAGCCTCTGCTAAGCTCGAGATGGAGCTAAAACGAAGCTCACCGCTTTCTCCCTGACCATGTATCAAGACATGAACTGATGGGTTATTCTTTGCTGCTAGCCACTCGGCATGTAGTTGGGCGTCGATTTCGTCGCTTACGCGCTTCGCCTCCAGTTCCCTTGCTATCCGCGCCTCTCGTTGAGTTGGAGTCTCATCAGGAGGTGGAGCCAATAACGTTGAAAACGGATCCCATGAACGTCCTAGGTGGGCCATTATCGAATATCTTCAAGAGTTTAATCGAGCACCGCGATCGATGGGAGTACAGAGCAAGCCCCAACCCCGGACCTGTCCCGTCTGGGCGTCCGTTTGATCTCGTGACGACGAAGGAGTCACATGAACTTCCACTTGAGCGCGTCTAATCTTGGGCCATGACGCGTTTTCCTTCAATCCCGGAATGATTAAAGCTGCTTATTTATTACATGGTTATTATTACTGAGCGATGGCTGTCCTGAATATTATATTGCTCGGCCACTGATGGCGATCGTTGCTGCTGTGAACGAACCTTTCTGTCGACTTGGCACCTTGGGTCGAGTGCAAATAAATTCACTCTGCAATGAAAGAACAGCCCGAGTGTATCAGATTAAAATCCGATTTGGTAAGATATAGACTACGGTATCAGAGAAGAGTGACATCGGTCTCTAATAAGATGGAACTATCCGCCAAAGGTGAGGATCGGATGTGGCGCGAAAGCTGTTCGGAAATTGGTCTAGCGATCACTTGCTTTTCACTGTCCGTCAGTGTTATGAAAGGAACTAACTTTACGTCTAGTTTGACGGAGAGTTTCTGAGGTGTGTGTGCTCTAGGCGTAAATTCTGAATGTGGAGCAAGTTCCACGCCTTATCAGTGTGACTGGTTGGAGGGACGCTGAGTGCACGAGGAGCCACTGCATACAAATACAAAATTAATTCTAAAGGATGGTTCGATCTATCATCTTCCGCGGTAATTCTCAGTAAACCTCGCCTTTGAGTGGTTCCCCTGTTAATTCTATTCCCGGTATTTCCTTCAATTATGTATCACATATCTACTAAGTGGTCTTCACTTAACAGAAGAGATTTACTGCGCTATCTTTTCCTTCCCAGACTATTGTCTAGCAGGATTGATTTATGGCCATCAATACTTACTTAGGACTCGGGACTTCCAGAAAATGGGTGGTCCTATCGGCGAGTTAACTTGTGGAGCTTCTTTTGTGTAAGTGGTCTGATTCTCTGGGTCTTTTAACGCCACTCACGCTAGATTACCTCAGTGGCGCAAAGCACCAAAAGCTGACTATATAAAGGATTCAAATTTCACTGACCTTTGCCACAGACTACCCGTCTTCGAATAAGAGCAAACCATGCATTACCTTTCCATCTTCGTTCCGTTCCTCGCCGTCCTGGCGTGCGCAGGTTCTCCGGCGTCCCCTAGGCCTGTGGCAGGCAATAGCTCGTGTATCGCCAGTAAGTGTACCATCGCCAGAGTGATGTTGTGATGTTTGATGTTTTACTACGTACAGATTGCTCAACGGAACTCACCGACTGTCTGAACGAGACTATCCTTCTTGAAAATTACGGAGGAATTGCCTCGTGTGTGGTGGACTATGTCACGGATTGCCTTCCTGGATGCAAGGCTTGAAAGGACACACAACTCTGTCTCGAATTCGGTGAGTATACTGTATTTCCCCCAACTGGAAATCGATTCGAGTTCAACGCGTTAGAACAGAAATACGAGCTTTATTTAAAAACCTTTGAGAAACTATCGAACGACAAGTTTATCCGCATGATCAGTTATACAGCTGTATCTACCTACACCCAGATTACCTCGCGTACGCTTTTTGCATTCTGCCCTGCATCCCTTTCCTTTTGAACTTTGGGGGGTGTGTGACTTTCAACGGTGCCGATCCCAGATTGAAGCGATGCCATCTTTCTCATAATAATAAAAGACAATTCCCTCCACTGCATGTGCGATCGTGCGTTGGACACGACCACCCATCGTGGGTTCGAAAGCCCATTGAGAAGTCAGTATATAAGTAGATGACGTATCTCTCCCTTTACGTGTTAAATTCCTTGGACACCTATTTCACCGCACCATTCCCCCCCCCCCGACTTGTAACGTCAAACCGATTCAAACAAACTTTCAGAACGAATTTCGAAAAACGAAAGTATAGCCCCTCATCCAACGATTTCTAGTAGCTTCCTGAACGAATACCCATCGTGCGACCATGGCAGGCAAGCGATCCGAATCCGAGAGTTGTTACCAATTCCAAAGGACCTAAAGCAAATATTTTATTGAAGAAAACAAAAGGAAAGAACGCGTTTTTAAATTTTGGATGCGTTGGCAGAGATGACGGGGGAGCGATGCCGAATTTGTACTTTGAAGGAGAAAGGATAAGATAAAAGTTCAACCCTATCAAGCTCAAAGCTCAAGGGTTCAAATATTCATTATTCAATCCAATCGTTCAGCCGAGCACGCACACGCGCTATTCACATTGCGAGGGGCCCTGACCCATAGCGCAAACTTGAAAAATCCCCCCCGCAAGATGTATTATTGCTTGAAGAATGCGGAATTGAAGGTAGACGAAATGGAGGTAAGTATCTGCATGTAGTTGGAGTCGGAGTTGGAGTGGAAGATCTATGTTCAAGAAGGTGTCATTACGGAGGTGAAACGATAGAGCATGTACGCATGTACGCATGTACTCTGAAAGGTTACACAGAGGTACGCAGTGAGCGCACGACCAAATATCCGACCTGGGACCTACAACCTGGGACCTACAACCCGCGACCCTGCCATATCGTCGTCTGAATCAGAAATACCTTGACAACAGCTCGAGAGAGAGGCGGTACCAAAAGAGTATACCATATCCCAAATCACGGTTGACGGTTATGAACAATTAAAACGAGAGAAGGATGGAATTTTCAGGGAAGGAAGGGGTACCTCCATCCTCCGTCCTCGTCCTCCATCCTCCATCCTCGACCCCGTCTCCGTCTTAAATCTCCATCTTATCCTCCTCCTCCTCCTCCTCCATCACCTCCCCCTCGCTCCCCACCTCATCATCATCTTTCTTCGGCTTGTGTTTCAGCTTCATCTTTTGTTTCACCACCAGAACGTCCCTCACACCCGCCCCCGTCCGCACCCCAACTCTCTCCTCGAAACTCCGCCGCATAGCTGCGTACACACTCTCCGCGCCTTTCCTAGCCATTTCTCGGGCTAGCAAGAGTTCAGAGGAGGACGCGTCGGAGGGGGAGGGGGAGGGGGAGGGGCGCCCTCCTTTTGTCGATGTTGATTTCCAGAATGACCAAACACAGTCAGAGGTGTACCTTGGTCTTGACCCTAGAGTGCTTTCGCGTTTCTGTGCACTATCACCCGCCGTCCCAGGCCATTCCGTAGTGCCATCCTTAGCGGTAGAGGTAGTGGTAGTGGTGATCATAAAAGCAAACGCCCCAATAGCCTTCAACCCTCCTTCCCTCTCCCCTGAAGCCTCGTCATCGCTGGGATCTAGGATGAGAGTGCCGTCGTCCCGCAGGCCGACGGAGACGGCACATACGACGCCGCGCATGGGGATGGAGCTGGCGATGAGGAGGGAGAGGGAGGAGGCGTTTATCATGGACGTTGTTAACCCGGGTGATACGGCCGACGACGATGAGGACGAGGGTACGGAGGAAGAAGCAGAGGACGAAGAACTCGAGCCAAGACCCTGTACGACGAGCTGCACTAGGGTCCTCGGGTTCCGGGTGAGTATGAGACTGGGCTCCAAGCACGCGCGGAGGATGGCAGCGAGGGCTTTGGCCTCTGTTGCTGGGATACCGGATAAAGGGCGGACGAGGACCTCGAAGGTGGCTTTGGAGGGGAGCTCGGCTGCGAGGCGGACTTCGATGGGGCCGGAGAGGGAGGCGAGGGATGTTGGGGATTGTCCTGGGAGGTGTTAGGGGAGCGTTAGTTAGGAGGAGGAGGGGATTAGGAAGAGGAGAGGGACTGACCAAAGCTGAATCGCGCTGACCCGTCTACGCGGGCTAGGCCGTCGTAGGATATGTGGATGGGTCGGAGGTCGGTAGGGCGTCGGTTGTCGGGTCTTGCAGGAGGCGTGCCATTGGAGCTGCCGCTGCTCATCGTATGTCGTGTGTGGTGGTGTTGGATAAGATAATTTTTATTATTTCTCACGGCTCCTATGTATGGGCACACCCAACTAAATGCTAAATATCAAATCCTCGACGCGCAATTTGCAGAACGACGAAAAATGTTGAAAAATTGAAATCATAAAGAAAGAAAAAATTCTGTATCTCGTCCTTGCCAAGGCGAGGAATAAAATGGGACTTGGACTCTATGGGAATTGAACCCATTACCTCTTGCAATCAATTCTGAACATCCTACACATGCGAAGCGAGCGCTCTACCATATGAGCTAAGAGCCCCTGCGCTCCGGCACATCCAGAAGAGCACTGCGAGGTGAGAGGCGAGTTTTTTGATCACGATGAGCACGCAGGAGCTATTTATTATCGAGGCACAGCCACGAGATCAAAGATAATTTTATTCCTCATTAGCTGATTGGCTCAAGAAGAAAAAAGTGGGTTGTCCGCATCAGCACAAGGTCCGAACGCGCTTCCTTCTCCTCCTCCACCCAGTCGCGTTCTACTCCCAATCGCTCCTTGAGCTTGCTACAGCACCGATGCCATTCAGCCGCCTCATCAACACCGCGTTCGCCACCAGCACCACCATCGTCCGTGGTCCCTCCCCCTCTGGGTCTGGGTCGGGCGGGAGAAAAGGCTTTTGCTCGCATGGCACACGTACCTTGCGAGGTGGAGCATCCTCCTCAGCACCTCCTCCACAAGCGCATTCGGCCTTCTCACATCTCTCGAGCTCGACCTCACCCGCGCGGTTCTTCAGCACACTCGTCACGGCTGTGAAAACGGCGCTGCCGGCGGTGGTATCGCTGTCCCTCCCTCTTCCTCATCTCCCTCATCTCGCTTCGCCTCACGCTCTCGGATCCAATTTCAGCTCGAGGGCGATGTGTACCCACACCCCGCCCAAGCGCATACGGCCTCGCAAAAGACGTCTTCGGCAGACCTGGAACGCCTATTCCACGGCAACTTGGAGTATATAACGCGTATGGAGACGGACTATCCGGGTGTATTGGTTAAATCGGCGAATGAGCCTCAGAGTGCGTTTTTTTGGGTTCTCCTTTTCGCTTCTTTTGCTTTTGCTCTTGCTTTTACTCTTTTACTTTTACTTTTACTCTTACTTTTACTTTTACTTTTACTTTACTTGAAATCTCTGACCCTCATTGTGATTTGTAGGACCTTCGATGATGATCCTAGACTGTGCAGACAGCAGGTGAGATGAGATGGTGTTAACGCGTCTACCCTCTCCCCATTCCCCTCTCATATCTCATACCTCACCTCTCTTTCGATCAGAGTAGACGAACAAGCGATGTTCTCCGCACCGCTAGGAACGGCGTTCACGACGAGTAATATCGCGAATCGGTTCAATGAGGAGGATGTCAATACGTAAGTCCAGCGTGGGCTCTTTTTCTAATTCATCTTCTTTTCTTCCTCTTCCTTGCCCGTCTTCTTCCTCCTCTTGCTTACAGCTCTTCTCTTTCCCGTGTTCCTCCTTTTTCTCTTTCCCTTCTTCTACCTCCTCTTCTTCCCCATGCCCGTTCGCATATACCCACCTTCCCTTGCACATCTTTCCCTCTTCCCTCTTCACTTCCCCTCCTCTCTCTTCACTTCCCCTCTTCCCCCTTCCTTCTTCACATCCCTCTTCCTTCCTTCCCCCTTCCCCCTTCCCCCTTCCTCTTCCCTTCCTCCCTTACTTACTCTCCCTATCCAAACAGCAATGCCGTACTCGCATTCGCCATCTCATCCCTCAAAGTCCGCCACATCGTCGTGTTGGGACATTACGGATGCGGCGGGATCGCGAATTCGATGATGATGCCCAACCCGGGATCTGTCAGTGTCCAGGATCCGAATATGCCTAACCAGGGATCTGTACAGGATTCGATGATGCCTAACCAGGGATCTGTACAGGATTCGATCTTGCCAACGCCAACGGCAGAAGCGGCGGTACAGAGGTGGATTCAACCCGTGAGGGAGTTGTATGAGATGTCATTGAGGTATGTGTGGTTGAAATTTCTACAAAAAAATTTTTTTTCCGTTTTTGTTTTCGTTGTTGGTGGTTGGTCTTATCGGCAGCGGCGGCGGCGGCGGTCTCTTCTCCTTGCTCCCTACTTCCTCCTTTTACCTTCATACCTTACAATGACTCCTGACACTAATTCACTACCGCGTTTTGTACTTCATTCCAGACCAGAAATCATAGCCCACCGAGAAAAAGCCAAGATGGAGCCGTTGATTGAGTTGCCGGGTATTCGTGAACGTGAGTTTGCTTTTTGCTTTTTGCTTTTTGCTTTTGGATCTTTTGCTTTTTTTTTGCATTTTTCTTTGGTTTGGCTTTAACGCCTGTGTTTACTTCCGTTCTTTCATATTCAAATACCCTTTCCTTCTTCCTTCTTTTTTCTTCTTCTTCTTCTTCTCGTCCCTCTGCGGTCGTATCGTTTATCATCATCATCTAACTTTGATCGCCCGATTTCATCTTATAATCCAACTTAATTTAATTTAATTTGTTGCCGTTCTTTCATCCTCTCATCCTTCATCCGACTTCTTCCTTCCCTTCTGCTCTTCCTCTCATTTCGTTTCCGATTTTTTTTATCTCCCTTCTTTCTTCCGCCTTTGCTCACTCTGCTTGCTTCCCTCCTGCACTAATTTATTTTCTTTTCTTTGACTAGGTCGTTTTTGTTTTTTTTTTCTCCGTTGTCTTTCGCCTTTGTTTTTTTGCCTTGTCGTGACCTTGGCCTTTGGTATCATTTCCGTTTATCTCGATTTTGGTTTTTGTTCTGATTCTGATTCTTATTCTTATTCTAATTCCAATTCTGATTCCAATCTTCATTCCTATTTTCATTCCTATTCCCATTCCCATTCTGATTCTGATTTCCCCCTTTTACCCTCCTCAAAAGCCGCATTCCGCGCTCTGATCGAGGAGAACTTGAAGCTCAACGTGAAAAAAGTCGCGAATTCCAGGGTGATCCAGGAGGTACGTTGGGTTCATTCTTTCATTGTCGCGGTCGTGTCTTCTCTTTTCCTCCTCTTCTCTCTCCTCTCCTCTCTCCTCTCCTCTCCTCTCCTCTCTTCTCTTCTCTTCTGCACGAGTACAAATCCTGACGACCCTCTTTCATTATTCCATCAAAAAAGAAATTCGCATCTTTATCACCCACGCGTGAAACCGCATCGGCATCAGCTCAAAGTTCAGAGCAGGAACCAGAGCAGGAACCAGAGCAAGACGTGTTCATCCACGGATGGATATATGATATGGAGTCCGGACGGGTGTTTGATCTGGGCGTGTCGGTGGGTCCCCCTGGGAGGGAGGTGCCAAGGAGTCCGTTCCCGCTTGTTGGGTCGTCTCAGGTCTGAGCAGGGGCGAGGCGAAGGACAGGGGGGAGGGGAGGGCGCAAAAGGGCCGCAGATCAGAAGGGGGCCGCAGCTTAAAGAGTCGAAAGTAAATGTGGTTAACCTGCAATCAATCTTACCAGTGCGTCGTCTTTTTCCTACGTAGTTTGGTTGAGTTTTTTTTTTTGATGACGCTATCCTTCTTTCATTTTAGGATATTTGTACTACGTATATCATTTCATTTATCGTTTATCATCTGTCGTTTATAGTTCACTCGAGTTTTGTACTGGGCAGATACAGCCTCTGAGTGGAATTCATCAGCCATTTCGCTGTTTTTACATCAAGGTTGTCAGTGTTGGGTCGCGCCATGAAAATGGAATAGGTAAGAAAGGGAAAGATAAATCGCCGAAACATTAGAAACGCAAGATCTCATCCGTATTTGATTCCGAGCAGGGAATTGGTCCATATGTGATAGTCCCTTCTAACCACTTCCTACTCTAATTATTTGACGTACCCAAACAGAAAGAGGCGGAAAGACGTCGATAAGCCACATGAAAAATCAAATTCATCACACGTTTTTCTAACCAGGCCGAGGGCGCAGTGTGGAGTATTGACTGAAAGGTATATTTTAGAATCGCAACATCTAGTAAACGGTTGATTATCCCAAGATTATCCGCTTCAGTACTTCAGTAAAATCACGCCAAATGATGATAAAACTCGCCTTTTGTAGGGTTTCGATTTGTCGAGAACACTGAGAACTATGGGAATCAGATGAGAAAGAATGGTACAAGGAGATTGACACGTACCTGGACAAGGTATGATAATCGCTCAGGCGATGTAAGAGCGAGGGCGATCTGTTTCGTTACGGAAATCCCTGGGAACAGTTGTAACGCGATGAGCACGTGGTGAGCAACGTTACTATTCTTTTCATTTGTCACAGCCGACGCCAACGAACCGCGATGCTGTTCAAATTCGTTTGTTACTTGCAGAAAACCCTCTTTTTATTATCGTTGACCTTCAGTCAGATAGTTGGGTTCAGGAACTATCGAAGGCGATTGCAGTGGAGCTTCACTCACGTGGTCGGACTGACGTCAAAATCGATGACCTCCGCCTCTTCAAGGTAAACTTGTTATTTCTCTCAAGAAAGGTGCGCATTGTGCCGGTGTCTTATAGGTGTTCACCTTCCTCATTTCCGCCTCAGCTCTCAACGAGGCTTTCGATAGTCTCTCATTCCTCCCTTCGCCGTCAGAGGCAATCAAGGATTCCGAAAATCTGGCTCGGGTGTTTGACGGGAAAGGGCCTCGTATCCACATTGGCCGGCTTGGCGGAGCCCCTGCCGTAAATTTCAGCCCCGTCCTTGCAGCCTTGCAGCAGAATCTCGACAATCTCGAACAAGTCGAAGTTTCTGAAGATGAAGCTTCTCTTGCTGCCTCCTACATTCGTTACATTGTCGACTTTTATGCTAACGAGAACCTTCGTGAGGATACAATTAAAGGCCTAGTCGATGGAGCGATCGGAGGGACTGGAGAATGGGCCGTTAATATGGCTGCGCTCCATGGCATCATCCTGAATATATCTGGTGGCACGACATGTTTGCTATGCTCGCCCTTGAGCTAAAGAACTCACTGGGCCTGTCTGGGGATGCTCTTTCTCAAGCCATTGTTGATTACTGCAAATTAGTATCACGAGATCAGGTTTGATATCTCATTTCTCCCACTTAGAACCTGGCGCTCACCTTCACTTGCAGTACAAGTCTTTCCGGAAGTACTGTAATTTCCCTAGTGTCCTCATTGGTATTACAGCAAATCGCTTTGAAATCTCCATCGCCGTTTGTGTGGGACCCGTCTACGTGACCAAGTTGCTCACGCTCGACCTTTCCATGGATTTCCATGCCTCTGATAATATTATCTGCCTGGCCCGTGTCTTCAAGGTATTGCGACGTCATCGGCTGGAACTCGAAAAGTATTACCAGA